CTGCCCCAGGGAGTTCACTTGCTGCTAGGGACACAGACGATACACAAGTTAATACAGATAATGAGAATACACGTGGTGGAAAGTGCCACGGAAAGCTAACAAGGGAGGCCGGGGAGAAGAGAAAGACCGAGAAGGGAAGAAAACAAGGTGATTAGAAGCCAGACTGAGCTCTGCAAGGATGGGGGAAGGGTACTGCGGGCGGAAGGACCCGCCGAGGGCAAAGGCGGGAAGGAGCTCACGCTGTTTTCAGGGGCAGCAGGAAGGCGGGTGGGACTCAGTGAAGCGTACACGCAGAGCAGCGGAAGGGCCTGGAGGCACCAGCGACCACTTTGCCTTCCATCCGCGAGCAGGGAAACCCCATCCGCATCGCGAAGGCGCCCCCTGGCGGCCACGTGAGGAATAGCCCCTAGTGGGACAAGGGCAGAAGCTGGAAGAGCCTGCCCCTCCCTGAGGGCTCCAGGCGAGAGGGACGGAGGCCGGGACCAGGGAGGTGATGGTGGAGGATAGGAGAAGTGGCCGGACCTGGGATATATTCTGTGGGGTCTACAGGATCTGCTGATGCAGTCAAGGATGACGCCAGTTTCATTCCTAGCAACCCTGAAGACGGACGTGCCCTTTAACCAGAAAGCAGTGACTGGAAGGAGAGGGTTTGCAGGGTCAGGAATCAAGGCTTCCATTCTGGATATTTCGGTTGAGAAGACTGTCAGACAAAGACACGCATGCCGAGTGTGTTGCATGATGAGTCTGGAGCAAGGGGAAAGATCCAGGGTAGACATAAGCATGGAGTTGTCCAGAGGTAGAGATACTCAAAGCGGCAGGAGGTCACCCAGGGGAGGAGTCCCGCTGAAGACAGGCAGGACCACCCAAAGGACCACGGGGCGGCCTCCTTCTCTGCCTTGAGCTGCATGACCAGAAGCTCCCTCCCACTGCCAGCCTCCTAATACCAGACAGAGGAACTGGGAGGGGTAGGAGGCAGGAAAATCCCTTCTACCACACATGCCTATGTGGGGCATATCTGTGTCCCCTCCAAGCTTTCCCAGCCCTGCCCTCAACCCTGACCTCGCCGGCTGCGCAGTCCTCTCTTTGGCCACTTGCCCAGGCCTCCCGCCCCCTGCACCCCCAGCCAACAGCCCATTCTTAGATCCCTCGTCCTGCACAAGCTACCCAGAACACCCTTGACATCTTCCTTCTTTGTCCTTCCCACACACCCGGCTGGTCCCCGCCCAGGAGCCTAGACCTCCTGACCCACCCCGTCCACCCCTGTGGACTCCACTTCAGCCTCAGCAAGACCCCAGGGGCTCAGCCATGCCCTTGCTGAGCTCCGTGGTGCTTTCCTTGACACACACCCCTTCCCTGACCACATTCTGGAACCACCAACCCCTCCTTCAGATGACCCCAGCTTCCCACCCCCACCAAACCCGTCCTGAGATGGCCCTTGTTCTCTTCCACCTCCTCCACCTTCCTTCCTCCGGCTGGAGGCACCTCCACCCCCTCCACTGACCACCGTCTTCGTCTGCTACAGCATCTCCTCAGCACGCGCAGCTGCCTAGAGTGGCAGGTAGGCAGCCCCCGGCCCCATCTCCCGCGGCGGAATCGAATGCGCGGCCAGAACCACAGCTGCAAGGGGTCTGGGAGAAGTGGCGTTCTGAGCTCTCCAGGCTCCATGGTTCACGGAAGCACAGGGGAGGGGGAAGAGCAGAAGGCAAGTGAGCCGACCCACAGCTTCATCTCGGGCCCCATTCTCCCAGATTCTCTGCATCACCCGCCTAGGGGCTACCGACCCCCTTTTAAGTACTTTTGAAATGCTCACCTTGCATTGCTTTGGGCTCCTTTGGGTATCTCTGGGTATCAGCTGACTCTCTCAGAATACGCAGGGGTCTATCGCCTCTCGAGATGTCAGGAAGAGGCAGCCCAGGCCTGGAGCCACATCCCTGTGATGCCAGGCTCATCCTGTTTTTTGGCCCCAACACCCCTAGCGCTTGTCCTGAATCTCATACTTGCTGTCTTCGCTGCAAGATGACAGCTGCAGCTCCCGGCCTCATACCCCCATGCCAAGTGGCAAGAAAGGGGAGGAGAAGGGGGGCCTAAAGGGCATTCTCCTAATGAGAATTTCCTTCTATTCAGGAAGGGACACCCTCCCCAGGGACTTCCTCATTGGCCAGAATCACATGGCCACCTTGGCCACAAAGGACACCGGGAAATGATTTAGCTTTCCAGACTCTATAGCAGAGGAAGGAAATTGGGAGACAAACTGGAAATAGGTGTTGAGGGAGTCAATTTTTAATATTTGTCACAGCCGTAAAGGGAATTCATTGGCTTATGTAATCAAGTTGTCCAGGCTTCGGGCATTGGTGGATCCAGAAGCTCATAGGGTATCATCCAGACTCAATCTCCTGCTCTCCATCTGCCCACTCACTTCCTGTCAGGATCCCTCTGGGGGCACTCCAGATTTGCAGCATCCTCCCGGCTGGAAAGGAGTTTCGTTTCCCTAGTTGTTCCAGCAAAAATCCCACGTTGAATCCCATTGACCCTACTTTGGTCACAGGTCCACTCTTGAACCAATCACCACAGCCAGGAGATGGAATATTATGAGCTGGATGTCTGTCTTGCCTTCTCCACCCCCTTCCTGGATCTAGGGATGGAGCCTCATAAATCACATGGACTGGAAGTGGAGGTGTGGTGACCCCAAAAGACCTACGTCCGAATAAGGTAGAGCAGATGCCGGGTAAGCATCAACGACGAAGGCCTCCAGCTCCCTCCCTCACCTTCCCTCGACTAGTCTCTTCCTGTTCTTCTACTTTTCTGATCTCATCCTCAGCTCTGGGCCCTTCTTACAGCTTGGACCCCATAGTGCTGGTTTCTACAGGGATCTGAACTCAACTGTCCAAAGCTTCCATGAACAAGCACATGCGGTCTTATGACTTCGCTGTCACCTGCATGTTGATGACACCCAGATACATTTCTCCAAACTGGATCTTGCTATGGAGCTCCAGATCTGTTGAGGGAGCCAATTTTAATATTTACCATAGCCATAAAATCACGTGACATCAAATTTCGCATCTTACCCGTTTTATGCAGATAATTTGGTGGTATCCGATAGTCATAATGTTGTACGACCAGCACCATCATCAGTCCCCAGAGCTCTTTCCACCTTGTCAGACCAGAACTCGGTCATTAAACACTAACTTCTCACTCCCCCATCCCCCAGCCCCTGGCACCCACCTTCCTATATTCTGCCTCCATGATTTTGACTACTCTAAATACCTCATATAAGCGGAACCAGGGAGTGTTTGTCGTTTTGTGGCTTACTTCACTGAGCATAAGGAACTCAAGGTTCATCCATGTTGTAGCGGATGGAAGAATTTCCTTCCTTTTTAAGCCTGAATAATATTCCAGTGTAAGGAGGCAGCACATTTGCTTATCCGTTCATCTGTGAGGGGCACAGGGGTTGTCTCTACATTTTAACTACTGTGGATAATGCTGCTGTGGACACGGGTGTACAGATTATCTCTCCAAGACCCTGCTTTCCATTCTTTGGGGTGTATCCCCAGAAGTGGAATTGCCGGATCATCTGGTGATTCTATTTTTCATTATCTGAGGAGCCACCATACTGTTTCCCACAGCAGTTCCGCCATTTTACCTTCCTGCCAACAGTGCCCACAGGTTGCAATTTCTCCACGTCCTCACCAACACTTGTTTTTGGTTTGTTTGTTTAATAAAAGTTATCCTAACGGGTGTGAGGTGGTATCTCATTGGAGTTTGGATCGGCTTCTCCCTAATGATGAGCGATGTTGAGCATCCCTTCATGTGCTCATTAGCAATTGGTATGTCTTCTCTGGAGAAACCTCTATTCAAGTCCTTTGACCATTTTTGAATCAGGCTTGGTTTTTGTTTTGTTTTGTTTCATTTTGTTTAAGTAGGCTCCATGCCCAGCATGGAGCCCAACGTGGGGCTTGAACTCACGACCCTGAGATCGACCCTGAAATCGAGACCTGAGCTGAGATCAAGAGTCAGACACTTAATGAAGCTACCCAGGTGCCCCTGCTTTTTTATTTTAGAAGTTTTGGGAGTTCTCTGTATGTTCTGGATGTTAATCTCTTATCAGATATATGATTTGTAAATATTTTCTCACATTCGGTGGGTTGCCTTTTTATTCTGTTCATGGTGGGTTTTGACGCACAAAATTTTTAATTTTCACAGCTCACCCAGGATGGGCAGCCAAGATGCAAACTCGGACCATCTAAATGCAGAATGCAGGTTAACTATGGACAGACGGAAGATGGACAGGTGATGAAGGGATAGGCAGTGGGAGATGGAGGGGGGACAAGGGAACAGTCGGGGGGATTCCAGAACTCCAGCTGCAGCCCAGCCACTCCCTACCTGCCCCCTCCCCCCAACAGGGCTGGGTGAGGGTGAGGCATGAAACCCCCACCACCTCAGGCACAGAATCTAGGGGGAGGCCAAAACTTCGCAGATAAGATAAATAATATTTTGTGATCTCTTTATAAATCAAAATCAACGCCATAAATCATGGTGGACAAAACCACCCACCACTTAAGTAAAGATCAGATCTGAACCAGCCCCTGCATGACCTCACCCGCCTCCCCTTGGTCAGGGCCCACCTACCAACCCAGCACCTCCCTGTCCCCCCACCACCACCACTTCACCCCCACCGCCACCCTAAGGCCAGCAATGGAGGGTCAGGAGGGATGGAGTAGAGAGGGAAAGGGAAGGCAGGGCTGCCGGGCTCTGCTCAGTCCTGGCCACGGTCACCACCCCAAGACCAAGCCCCACCCAGTCCCAGGCTGTGACTTCTCTGAGTGGCATCCCTCCGGCCACCACAGGGCAGAGCCCGCGAGCTGCCTTTGGTCTCCGAGGAAATCCCAGGAAGGGGGTGACCAAGGGGACAGACCCTCCAGTCCCCCTACCCGCTCACCCTCCCCCTGTCTACCGCCCCACCCCCCCACCCCCGTCTGGTTTCTCCTCCCCAGCCAGGCTCCCAGAAGCTGAGGACCCAGGCCAGGCCCTCCCACTGCCCCAAGGCTGGGCCCAGTGCCGGCTACCTTTAGGGGATTCCTTCATGAAACCCCTCACACCTGTCGTCGTGGGAGGCGCCGTCATTTTTCCCGGTTTTGTGGAAAAGGAAACCGAAGCCCAGAGAGGGAGAGGACATACATTCTGGGCATGTCTAAGTGTTAAGGGAGCACAAGACCCGTCTTGAAGAGTTGGAGACGAAGGCTGAGTGACTCAGCTCCCACCGCATGGCCAGGAGGGACGGAGTCAGTGGGGGCAGGCTGGCTTTGCCTGAGCGGAGTGCAAGCCCGGTGCTCTTTCTGTGCCCTCACGCCACCCGGTGGGACCCCCACCTGCGAGGCCCCATGTCCTGGCCTCAAAATCCAGGTTCAAATAGAAGGTTCTAGCAGGTGGGAGTCAGGAGTCCTTTGTCCCACACCCCCTGGTGCTGACTTTGGGCAAGGTGCACACCCCGTCTATGCCAGACCTGTCTCAGGACCCTGTGGACCTGGGGCCACACAGAGAAACCAGATGTGGCCTCCTCCCCAGCACACAGAGCCTGAGGGGCAGCTGAGGGGATCGAAAGGGTGGTAGGAAAACAGAATGAAAACAAGCCTCAGGGTGCTCAGGCCCCCAGCCTCCCGCCCCTGCCACGGTTTTCTCTTCACTGGGGGAGAGACCTCAGACGCCCCTGAGGACCTTCGAGCAGAATGTTCTGGGATTCAGGGGTCACAAGCTCACACGCTGGTCTATTTCACCCAGCTTCTGGATAACTATCGGTTCTGATTAACAGAGTTACCCTGCCAACATGCAGATGGCCAACCTCAGAGCGAGGGTGAAGACCCGAGCTCAATGCTGGAAAATGGCTGGAAACTGCTGATAGACTCCGCTCTTGCTTTTTCCCAGGGTCACTATGGGAGGAAGCGTTACCGCCTGACACAGGTTAGCGGCGGGGAAGATGCTCAGACTCTGACCTGCTGGGCAGCAAGCTGCCTTAGTTAGATGGCGCTTGACTACTGCGGGCCATCATGAGTCAGGGATCCACAGACCCTTAGAGCTCATGTGGGAGATCCCTGGCCCCCACCCCAGCTAGTATTCACTCAACAAAACTTACTTAGCACCACAGGCCTATCAGATAGACCCAGCCTCATCCTTCAGGGAGCTTATGCTCTAGTGATGAAAACTGATTTTGAGTGAGCAGTTAGACGGGTGCTATGGTTCTGGCAGGCTGTGCAGGAGCCATGAACACTCGGGTTAGGACACAATGCCCAGAGAAAGCACAGTTTAAGCAAAGACCTAAAGCATGGGTAGGAGCTGGCCAGAGATGGTGAGGAGAAAGAGTAAGTCAGGTGGAAGGAGTGGCATATACAAAGACCCTGGGGCATGAGAGAACACGGTCTGACCAAGACAAAGAAGGATGGTCCGTAGTGCTGTAGCATGGGGCAGCAGGCAGCCATCAGCTTCCAGAGGGTCTCCTGGGTCATGTTATGGAGTCTCAATGCCATCCGGAGGGCAGTGGGAAGCCCCTGCAGAAGAATGATGTGATCAGTTGGCTTTCAAAGCTGGAGGTCCCAGGGAGCCCCAGCACTGCCCAGAGATGACACCAAAATGGCCGAAAGGGGACCCATGAGAACATGTGTCAACAGAGCACTTTGTCAAAGTCTATAACCACAATTTTGAGCCAAAAGAATGAGACTCCACGGCAGACTGAACCTGCCATAAGTTTAAATCCTCAAGTATCAGATTTTAATCTTTGAAGGACTGACAAAAACTCTAGAGGCGTGGCCTCCCAAATAACTAGAACTGATGTCCCAGAAATATGACTCAACCTTAACCACAAGAACACACAAGTCACAACCAAACTCTGGACTGGAATCCCTGTGTGTTTGCGGCAGCCCCTCTGAGCTTCTGTGTTGGTCTGGAAGGAAGACACTGGAGATGCCCTTGGGCCAGGGGACTCTTTTGGCCTTTCCCCTCAGGATGACCCACCACTCCTGGGCCCTCCACCCCTCCTGCCAGTGACCCTTCCAGCCACAGATGCCTGGGTATCTGGTGGCTTGACTCCAGTAGAGTCACTCCTTCTTAAAAACACCCTGCCCACCCCCACCCCTGCTCCAGTGGACCCCACCTCTTGATCTTTTCTTGATACCCGACCTCTCTGCCTCCACTTCCTCAGCTACCCCTGGCTTGTGGACCCTGCCTCACCACCTCTCACCCCGAGCTGCTGAGCGCCCAGAGACCTTCACTTCCCCAACACCCACCAGAGGCACTGCTGACCACTTCTTCAAAGGCCCTCAACTCGGGGTCTCAGACATGCCTGGTTTCCTCCTGGGCCTCCACCTGCTCCCTCCTCCCCGTCCCCCGTCCCTGTGGTAGCATTTCCCGCCAGGGCTCCACAGGCTAACACCTTGGTTCCCACCAGCAGCCCCTTCCATCCTGCCTCCCTGGCTGGGGGAGCCCATCTCCCACCGACATGCTGCAAATGCCAAGTGCTCCGTTTCCCAGGATGCCTTGCATCCAGGTGTGAGCACGGACCTGCCCGGACCAAATGGGATGAGCAGAGCCCCGGCGGGTGTGGCCAAACAGGTACAGACACCTGAAACTGCCCAAGCCATCTGGCAACCTGGAGGGAGGCCCAGCCTAGGGAGATGCTGCTTCTGGCTAACCCCAGACCTCGGCCCCATCCTACCCCACAGCACAGCCACCGAGGCCCACTGGAGGCTTCTGCCTCTCCCAGGCCCCACTGAAGTGAGCTTTCGAGGAGGAAGAGCCCAGGGCCACCTCCCGTGTGCACGTGACATGCATGTATACATATGCTTGATGTGCAAATGTCTGTATTCCGGTCCCCAGCAGAAACTACAGTCTCAACCCGAAACTCCTGCCGCCTGTGTTGGAAAGGGGAAGTGGGAGTCAGGGAGCAGCTGAGTGGAGGGTGGAGGCCTGGGAGGAGGAGTCGGGGGAGGGGGAAACCTGAGGCAGAACTTGGGCCGGGTCTGGATTCCTCCCAATCCTGCCCTCCACCCCATCTCAAGCCTCTGAGCCTTTATTCATGCTGTTCCTTCAACCTGGAACACGTCCCACCCCCACCTTCGCTGAAGCACACACTCCTAATCGACCTTCTACAGGAGTCTTTCCTTTCTTGTACAAGTATCCAAGACTCTGGACGGGCATCCCTGCTCTGGGAAGTCCTCACCGAATGGGTCGGAGCTCCTCCAGCCACAGTCTTACCACTGAGTGTTGGTGGTAGCTGCTGAGTTTTCTGTCCCTAGCACCCAGCACTTGGGGTCACACTCAGGAACTCAGTGTGAAATGATGACTCTCACCTAACAACTCCCCTCCCCTCGAAATTCCACTTTGCGAGTCCCACGCTCAGAGTCAAACATTTGGGGAGGGCCCACGTTCTCAGACGTCCGAGCCGGGTGGCACAGCTAGATACTGGCTGGCCCTATATCCCATACACACCTGTACCCTGAATACTGGGCCACGACCTTTACACGTTTTGCTTTTGCAATTTTCTCCACACAAAAGAAGGAGGCATTCCTATCTTCTCTTTGCCCATAAGGAAGCCGACTCACAGGGGAAGGCCACACGGGTAGAGCTGGGATCTGAGCCCAAGTCTCAGACGAACATAGAAAATGCACAGAAAGTTCAAACCACCTTAAATCCCACAACCCAGAGACTATCTCTTAATTAACATTTTGGTGAATATCTTTCCATCATGTGTTGGTAGCCCAGGCATCAAATAAGTAAGCCATGAGCCAGAGACAACCATTTTGTTGACTTTCACCTTGTTCCCCAGCTCAGCATCTTGTAATTTTTTAAAAAAAACTAATTGCTTATTAATATCACACACAAATTTATAAATCCAGTGATCCTTGAAAAACGGAGATCTGACCATCCCAAGCTCTTGTCTTTTCAAGGCAACAGTCTGCTGGCCCTGAGGACCAGCTGCCCACTTCACATGGGACAAGCCTCCCTGTTTTGCCACAAGCCCCACCATTCCCTGTTGTGTCCTCATTTCGCTTACCTGCCTGACCCCAGTCAGGCTGACAACCTCTCTCTAGGCATCTACAACAGCTAACATTTATCAAAAACCTACAACACACCAACCACCACTCAAATGTGCTTGACATGGGTTAACTTCTTTAATTCTCAAAGTAATGATATGAAGTAGGCACTATTATTATGCCCATTTTACAGATGAGGTAACTGGGATCAATTGCCCAAGACCACGGTGAGAAAGTGGCAAAGTCGGGATTGGAACCCGGGCAGTCTGGCTCCAGAGTCTGCCTCCGACCCCCGTGCACACACTCAGCCGGAGGTTGAGGATAATATTCCATACCAATCCATACAGTCTAGGATCATCTGTATCATAAAAACAAGAGAAACTAAAAAGTCAAAAAAAAAAAAAAAAAAACAGCCAGAGTGGACATTTGTTGCTTTTTCCACCCAGTTTTCCTTCCTTTAAGGGACTGCCCTTCTCCTGGCTGTTCTCGCGGGCCTGTCCCTTCCCCTCTCACCTCCCTCCCGACGAGGAGCCAGGGCATGTGACCCAGTCCTGACCAATCATGGCGTTCCTCCTATGATATTGCAGGGATTGGTCCAGAGATAGGCATGTGACCCAGGTCTAGCCAATCAGAGTCTTTCCCTAAGATTTTTTTTTTTTTTGGTAGGCCGTCTTTCCAAAGTCAAAGGTGATCTGATGTGAGCCTGGTGCTGTCTGTGGCTGGACTGGCTGCACTATGGAGAAAACCCAACTAAGAAAGAAACCACTCAGACAGACTGAGAGAATGGGCAGGAGAATGAGAGAGAGAGAGACATCTTAAGTCTCTGATTTCCATATCCCCAAGGTCAACCACATCCTCCACTCTCCAGGAACTGAGCCAGTAAATTCCCGCTTAAGCTATACTGAAAACCAAAAGATGCTTGAATTCTACATCCTCATTATTCTCTTCAATGACTCACACTGGCCCATCATCTGGACTCAGCATAATTTATTAACCATTCAGTCCCTGATGAGCGTTTGACTCTTCCCAAATGCCCCTGTTACCAATGGGATGCTGGGAAGAATCTTCATGGGCTCATCCTTTTCCACATGTGTGCAATTATCTCATCAGGGGCAATTTCTTGACATGAACTTGGACACCAAAGTGTTCTCTGCTGCCCTTGACCCCCATCCCTGCCTTTGACTTACTGAGCCATGGACTGTCTCTCAGGCCCAGCTTCCTCCTGTCCCCCTGTGCTAAAGGCTCCCAGTAAGTCTTGCGGCCAAACTGGACAAGGAATGACAGGTCGGGGGGATATCAGGCACATTTGGAAAGCCCCCTCTGAAGCCCCACTTGCAGCTGGAGTATCATAGGCCAGAGCCTCAGCAGTCCTAAGATTCAGGGGTGCTTCTTCTGCCAGGCCAATACCTAGTCAAGAGAAAAAAATGAGAAATTAGAGAAAATTATGAAAGGGAGGGACTTCGGAGATGATTCATCCCGGACACACACCCTGCCCACTACCTGCCATGTCCTACCCAGTCCAGGTGACTCAACCATGTACCCCACGTGGGCCAAGATTTTTGTCTGTCTTGTGCCAGTGCCAAGAACAGCACATGGCACATAGTGAATGTACATACATCTACTGGATGGATGGATGGAAGGTTTACTCTGACTCTACAGCCCAAATGGGCTCAAGGGCAGAGCCCTTGAGCCCTTACTCACTCTGTTAAGACCCTCTCTCTCCAGGTCTCAGTTCTG